AAAAGGCCCATGAAGTGCCAGCAGCATGAATGTGAGGCGGGAAAGGGGGGAAAGGGGCAGGCATACAGCAAGGCTCACGGCTGTGCAGACCAGTGTCAGACAACTCATCAACAGCAGGCCACATTCCAAGGATAGGGATCAGAACGGCACCAAACTGTTAAACACTGAAACCCGGAAGACAATAGAACATGCCTTCAAAATTTGAAGTGAAAATTATTTTCAAATTATTCAAGAATCTGTTCACAGTCCAACTGAGTGAGAGGGTAAACTAAAGACACCTTCAAACACGTCATGTCGTCATCCATGCTCAATTTGGCAGGAAACAGAGGAAGATGTGCTTCTTCAAAACAAATCCAGACAGACACTGACATGAGCTCCAGAAACAGGGAATCCAAACCAGGCAAGTGGGGTAGGGAATTCACAGAGCAATGGCAGATGGAAGTCCAGGGTGGCATCTGCACTGCACAGGGAAACCCATGAAGCCGCCAGTCCAGATTAAAGCAGGAAGAGCGAGCTCCAGAAGGTTTTCCAGGAAAAAGTGAAGAAAACAGTTTATCTGACAGTCTGATCATGTGAAAAATTATAAGCAGAGGCTATTTGGCTATTTTTTTTTTTTTCTGTGAGGAAGATTGGCCCTGGGCTAACATCTGTTGCCAATCTTCCTCCTTTGGCTTTAGGAAGATTGTCACTGAGCTAGTATCCATGCCAATCATCCTTTGTTTTGTAAGGGAGGACACCTCCACAGCATGGCTTGATGAGCAGTGTGTAGGTCTGAGCCCGGGATCCAAATCTGCAAACCCTGGGCCACTGAAGTGGAGCACGTGAACTTAACCACTATGCCACCAGGCCAGCCCTAAGCAGAGGCATTTTACAGACTTGCTCAAGGGTGTGGAAAGTTAAGTCACAGGTTCAAAAACAAAACTCAAAGAAATAAAAAAATCAAGCAATTATTAACTCAAAGAAAAACAAAAAGTAGTACCATAAAGGAAATATTATCTTAGTACATTATGTGGCACAGCAATGAATAATTACAACAAAAATATTGAATACGGGTAAACCCTAAATTGTGATTAACATTGGGAGAAAGCAGGAGGGAAGCAAGTTGTAAGAAAGCTAAAATTCCTATGTACCGTAACAAAAAGTCAATTAACAATGTTTAACATTTGTAAATAAGAGATAACAGAATAATTATATTTAGAAATATGTAGGGGCTGGCCCCCATGACCTAGTGGTTAAGTTTGCCATGCTCCGCTTTGGCCGCCTGGGGTCGGTTCCCAGGCACGGACCTACACCACTTGTCAGCCGTGCTGTGGTGGCGACCCATATACAAGATAGAGGAAGACTGGCACAGATGTAAGCTCAGGGCAAATCTTCCTCAGCAAAAAAAAAAAGCAAAAGCAGAAGAAACAGCTCGTTTGAAATCTTCTAGCACTATTTCCCTTTTTAAGCCATGTGTAATAATTTTTTAAAACAGGAAACGCATATTAAGAGGTTAGTACAGTGCCCAGCATAACAAATGGTATGTTGTTGTTTTGAAAAAGTGACAGGTTTTTAAAAATCTGGGCAGGGGGAAATGAAGGTAAAAAGATAAAGTCAGAGTGAGCTTAGCAAGCAAAGTGTGTAATATGAAGTATTTTACCTTGCTACAGGTTAGCCCCAAATTTAGCTTTCCATCACAAAAGAAAACAGCACAAGGATTCACATAGCCCATATAAAGAATAAGATCAGTGGAACAGAAGCCCAATTATTCCTGGCACTGAGGCCAGAGAGAAATATCCTCTATAGATATTCTTAAGTAGGATATTGGATGATATAATCATTACAGTAAAAATAATTTCTTTAGGCTTTTGGACTATTTCACATAACGTCCTTAAACAGGAGCAGACAAAACAATGTAGCTGACATGCACAGCTCTTTGATGATCAGACAAAAATTTTGTCTGCTGAAAGAAATGGCTAGACTACCCTTTAGGAAAGTTTTCACAGATATTTCTCTCCGCTAAATTTTTTGACCAATTGAGATTTTGCCAATACCCACTTCGAGACGTCCAGGTTTATATTATATCCAGGACGAAAGTTTCCCACTTGTCTTCCTCTATAGAGAAAAAAAGTGACAGAGAAAAAAGGAGTAGAAGGGATTGAGTTCTTGTATCTAAAAATTCATCAGAAGGAGCAAACAAAGAAAAAAGTAAGCAACTCTTCACGTTCCAAACGTGGGGGAAAGTCTTTTCTTTATTCCTGCAAAATCAAAAAAATATCCTTCACAGCATGCAAATAAGAAAAAAGATTAGGGGCCACCTCATGCCCTAGTGAAAAAGACTAATTCTTCCAGTTATACTATATTTTTATGGAAGAAAGGAAGTATAAGCTGTAGTTGAAAAACTGACTCATTTTGGTGCACTAAACATTAATGTCTTTATTAAGTCATTTGAAAAGAAAAGGACACAACAGAAATAGTATAAAATAACTTTTATTTACATAATTTATATCTATAGAACATAACTGCTTTCTTTAGAACAAGAAAATTTGCAAACGACAGACACTGCTCTTCTGTCAGGCTTCCTCAAGCGAGACAGTGTGCATGGTCACTTCTATTTCAAACAGCACGGTGGCCGACAGTGGGCACTCCGAGTTTATCTGTGCCTCAATCCTTTACCAGCAATTAGGCTTGTAAATCCTCATGTTCATCACTTGCTAAGACGTAAGTGTTCAGGAGGAAAAGCCAAGAAAAGATAAAGACCTTTAATCATATCTCCTTTAAGGATTTATACAAATGCAAATTCTTCGCAACATCATCTTCACGTGAATCAGATTAAACACAGGTGTGAACAGCTCTTTCCACCTTGTCAGGTAAATACACTGATTAAGTTTCTCTTTCCAAGACTAGTTTTAAGGATACAATAGTGAGATAATTTAGCTGGCTGACTTGATTCTCAAATGCAATGAATGCCCAAAGATAAAATTATTCTTTATATAGTAAGAAGTTACATCTTCCATAAAATTATTTTGTTGTAGATGTGCAAGAGAAAGATGTTAACAAAGTTAAAAAATAAATATTACACAAGGGGTAAAATAATAGTTTGATTGTGGCAGCCTAACACCCAAACTAACATTAATTACATGAAACCTTTTCAGAATATGAGATTTTTAAAAAATTTATAAAAACAGGGCATTAAAATAGCAATGTGATTTACTACCATGATTTTTGTGACATATTAATCACACAAAATAAATAAATGCATACCTATAGAGAATTTCCACTCAGATTTACAGATCCTCCTTTATGATAAAAAAGTTAAACTGTAAATTTCACTATAGGGGAATAATAAGAAATGCTGTAATATCAATTGTTTTTAATAAATTAGGGTTACTGTTATACTTGCTGAGCCACATCCTATTTTAGTAATGAACTGAAAGCCGGCCACCATTTTTTGCAATATACAAACACAATTATCTAGACATGAAAATATCTTCCCAATTGAAATACTGATCATTTCATAATACAATCCACACAGTTTTAATTGTTAGGCACCACTACCTCACAGACAAGGATGTCTTGGTGAGAACATTACTGTCCACTGCTGGGCTCAAACCAAAGCGCAGTCCAGCCCTGCCCATCACTCAGCTACTGTCTGGGCCTGTTCTCACATCGCAGTGGCAGGACTGAGCAGGTGCCACAGATGCCTTCCGGCCCACAAATGCGAGGATACTGCCCAGGAAACGTTTCTGACTCCTGATCTAACGTATTACCAACCCAGGCGGCTTTCCAAAGAGAGAGTAAACCTGCTCTTTGAGAAGTCTAATTTGACCCACCAAAGATCTGCTTGGGTGGATAACAGAACTACATATGTAAATCACAAAATCTTGAAATTAAAAATAACTCTTCAATTCATGTTGATGATGATCACTGACTTAATAAAATCTTATTGTTTTCTTATTTTTTGTTTTTAACATCACAATTATGTTCTATGCTTTAAAGGCCTAAGTGCTCCTTAAGCAGAATTTAATGGAGGGGGAAAACTATCAAGAAATTGGTTTTTAAAAAAAGGAATGTGTGTGTGAGTGTATGTGTGTGTACAGGACATTGAGTTTTGTATGGAAATCTGCCTCATAAATGAAGTTAAGCGTTTTTTTTTTCCCCATACAAATCCTGAGATTATCCAAGAAATAAAAACAAAAAATTCACAGTACAAAGTCAATATACTAAAGAATGAGAAAAAAATGTATTCAAAACATATACACTATCCAAACACACCACTTTAAATATATTTAAAATTAAAGAGGGCAAGGAGACAAACATAAATTTGTTAATGCCTTCTTTACCCATAATCTGAGGGGTGAAAATAATTAAAACTGAATATTCTTTTAAATAAAAAATTTAAAAATAAATAAGCTTTTTGATGTTTTATCTTTATAAATAATAAGTTTAAATACTAGTTCTTCAGATTAGGACTAATGTTACATCAACATGAATTAGAAAAATGCCTATTTTTCAGTCAGTCAAACAGCTGATACTAGAGAAGTTGTTACCTTTTACTGCACTAACACGGAGTTTCACAATCTGCTTTCACGCACTGAGAGGCTACGGAAAAGGCCCTCATCATCCAAAACCAAACCCAAACAAACAGAAAAACTGCATAGAAGAAGTTGGCTAACTGTTAAGGACAATGCACCTCCAAACACGTTGGCACTGTGATGCGTATGTACACAGAGACACTATCCACAACACTCCAAAGTGTCCACTGTGCTCGGCACCGGAGAGGCAGCATGTAAACAAGAGCTGCTGTCTCTGTCTGAGAAAGCAGGCTTAACTGCTTGGTGTTTCCAGAATGTGGAATAAATCAGAAGGAAAGGAATCTCAGCAATGTCTTCCACTGATAATAAAAGCTTCAAATCAAGTTCATTAAATATTCAAAATCAACCTAGAGAAAAAGAGCCAGGGGTTCTTTTTTCTATCTACTGCTTTGTTGATATAACTGACTTTGGAATCCTAGACTTTAAAAAAAAGACTTTTATTCTGTTTCATCCACTTCGATGAAGATGTCACTAAAGAAATACTCAGAGACTGTGGTTGGCTCCCCTTCAGGTGCCCGGCTTTGGCCACTTTTACATTCTTCTTTGGGCAAGGGGTGATCACAAGAAACCTGAAAAAGTAATAAAATAAGTATGTCATATAACACTTATCTATTGGTAGTGGTAGTCTAAATTGATATTTGAAAAGCAATATAGTAATAAATATTAATAACTTTAAATACATTCATACTCACTGACCCAATAATTCCATTTCTATGCTGTTATATTAAGGAAATAATTATAAACATAGTGAAAATTTTATGAATAAGACAAACTTTGCAGCATTAGTTATAACAACAAAATTGGAACCAACAAATGCACAACACTAAACATGATCAGGTTAATTACAGTGCACACATGCTCCATTACTTCACCCTAATCTCCATGAAAAGATTTTAATATAGAAACACATAGCATTATTAAATCTATGATGAAAACATTTTCATGACCAGCATAAGAACAGACAGACCGATGAAACAGAACAGTACCCAAAGGAAACATACCAAATCAAAGCAATCCTATCAGAAATCAGCATAGTGATAAATCTATAAAAACTTGAGACAGCATGGTATTGGCACAGGAAAAGACACATCAATGACACAGAAGATTAGAAGGATCCCCAACACATATGCATGGGAATTTAGTATCTGATAAAAATGATATCTCCAAAAAAAATGAGAAAAATTGGATTATTCAATAAATGATATTGGACAACTGTATAAACATCTTAGGAAAAAAAAGTCAGATCTATTCCTCACCAAAATAAATTCTAGATGATCAAAAGATTTAAATGTAAAAACATTTTAAAAGTATCTACTATAAAATGCCATGGGAAAAAACTTTCATAATCCTGGAGTGGAGGAGAGAGAATTTAAAAGCTAGAAGCCATACAAGAAAAGATTGATAAATTTATCTACGTAAACATAAAAAATGTCTGCATTGCAAACACTACCATACACAAAATCAAAAGACAAATGAGATAAAGAAAAAAAATATTTGTAACCTATATCACAAAAGGTTTTCTTTAATATAAGAGCTTCTAGGGGCCAGCCCAGTGGTATACTGGTTAAGTTCACGTGCTCCACTTCAGAGGCCCGGGGTTCGCAGGTTCAGATCCGGGGCGTGGATGGACACACTGCTTGTCAGGCCATGGTGTAGCGGCGTCCCATATAAAGTAGAGGAAGACAGACACGGATGTTAGCCCAGGGCCAATCTTCCTCAGCAAAAAGAGGAGGATTGGCATGGGATGTTAGCTCAGGGCTGATCTTCCTCACAAAAAAAAAAAAAGTAAAAAAAAATAAGAGCTTCTGCAAATCAATATGAAAATCAATATGAAATAACCTCATATTTTTAAAAAGTCAAATGATATGAACAGATGGTTCACAGAAAAGTATAAATGAATCAAATACACGAAGACATGCTCAATCTCACTCATATGCGCTCATTAAATCTATGAAGAATGTCAAAAGCAGAAACATTTGATCACATGGCAGTGTGAAGAAAATCCCTCTCCTACACTGCTTATCAGAATAGAGAGTAACATAGTCCCTGCAGAGGACAATGAGGCACTGATGGTCAACAGAATGATCATTCCTTCTGTCCAGCAATTCTCTTTCTAGGAATTTAACCTATAGATAAATGTGCAAAATGGCCCATTCATAAGTTATCTATTACCACACTGTTTGAAATAACCTAAATGCCTACCAGTGTGTGAGACCAGCATCACTCTATGGTATGTCCAACCAATGGAATATCACATAGTCAGTAAAAACACGGAGGGCACTGCTGGGCACTTATTCCTAAAAAATGGAAACTATGTCCACACAAAAACCAGTATACAAATGTTCATTCATAATAGCCCAAAACTGAAAACAACCCAGATGTCCTTCAGTGGGTAAACGGATAAACAAAACTGGCACACCCATACTATAGAATACCATTCAGCAATAAAAAGGAACAAACTATTGACACACAGAAGCATCTGGATGACTTCTCTAGGGAATCACGTTGAGAGAAAAGAAGCCAATTCCAAATGTAGGATTCCACTCACACACTGTATATAAGATTCCAGTGACATGACATTCTTGGAATGACAAATTTAATGGAGAATAGGCTGACAGAAGTTAAGAGCGTGGGGGTGGGAGGGAAGAGGGTGTGTCTGTAGAAGGATTCCTGCAGTGATGGAATGTTCTGTATCTTGACTGTTGCAATGTCAATATCCTGGTTGTGACATTGGACCATCGTTTTACAAGATGTCACCACTGGGGAAAACTGGATAAATGGGACATGGGATCTCTCTGTATTGCTTTTTTACAACTACATGTGAATCTACAATTATCTCAAAATAAAAAGCTTAATTTAAATTAAAAAGAGAGAGAGCGAGAGGGAGAAGGAGGAAGATCTTTATCTGTGGTTTTGCAAAGATCTCCAAGACATACTGTTAGGTGAAAAAAGCAAGGAAGAAAATAGCGTGCTATTATTTCCGAAAAAAGAAGAAAAATGTTTATATTTGTGTATATGTAAATATCTCTGGAAAAGTAAACCCCAAACTGATAATACCATATATCTGTGGGAAGGAAAACTAGGTAGCTAAAGGATGGATGTGGGAAACTTTTTACTGTACTCTCGTTTTTGTAGATTATAAATTTTAAAACACAGAATATACTACTTCTACAAAAAATAAAGAGCAATTTGAGAATAACATTTAGTTTAGATTCTCCCTTCACACTGTATATCAAAGTCAATAACCATGAATAGAGTTAAAGTTTTAAAACTGATTACTGAAAATTTTATACCTCTGGAGAAAAATTTCCTAATATAAAAGCAATTTAAGAAATTGCAAAGAAAAAAGTAATGAATTTGACTAAGCATTTAAAACTGATGTATATCCGAAATTTTAAAAAGTAAATAAACTTGGAAAAAACTATTGGCAGCAAAGAGCTAAAAGGTATATGGCTTTTTTACATACAAAAAGATCTCACGCAAATTTGTAAGAAAATCACCAAGATCCCGAAAGCTATAAATCAGCAAAAGATAGGAACCAAAGAAAGAAAAAAAAAAAAAAACAGAAAATCTAGTAAATATATGGGAAAAAACCAAGTTAGTAACTAAAGAAATGCAAATTAAACGAATGGATGACAATTCCATCCCTCTACCATTATGTTAAATAAGAAAAACATTTCTTTGAAGAGTCACTCCCTCAGGCTGGCAAAGGTGTGAGCGAACTGGCCTCGCCACACCACTGGGACCGTAACTGCTCCCCACAGTCATCTGGCAATTCTAATACAGACTCGTAAGACCCTGGTCCCAGAAAACTACTCTAGGAAGTAATATAAAATTTAAAAGAATTTAAAGCTGTTCTTTACAAAGTACTCCTTCCTTTGAGCTCAAGCTGTCCAATAGATGGTCACCAGTCTTTCCTCTGTTGAGATCTTAAGTCACCCCAATACTGTGCCAAAGCCTGTGATCCAGGTTCACAAATTTTTCCATCCCAGTACTTGCCATGTGGATAGCTTCAGAACACAGAGAAGTGAAACATGCAAACAATTCCAATTTCACCATTCCTTGAATCCTTGTGGGTGTCAGGACACACCTCCTGAAGCAAATAAAAGGCAAGCACTGCTTTGTTTTGCTTCCACAGGTCAGAGGGTCTTCGCATGAAAAGAACAGCAATTGAGTGTCCATTCACGGCTAGTTCACTGGCTCTGTACTGAACAGCATCATTTCCTCATTCCACACCGTATCTCCTCCCAGTATAGTGGGTATGAGGGGGAGGAGACGGGTAGGAGTTGCTCTGCAGTAATAATGAAAACAACTGCCATGCTCTTCCTAGTTGAGCCTGATATCCAGCCCATTCTATACAAACAGTAAAACGCAGCAGTCACCACGTACCTGAGCGGCTGAACTGCCGACACTCTCAGATGGAGCACTGACAACACTGGGGGATGGAGGCAGAGCAGAGGACTCCTGAAGTTTTTTCTGGCTTTCACTGAGTGGATTCGACCTTCTCAATTTCTCTCTTGACACAGGTATAACAGGTTTTAGGCGTTTCTTACTATGAACCTGAGTAGGTTCATCAGACTCCAAACTATTCTTTGAACATATTAAAGACAAAAATCCCAGGGGTCTTCTGCCAGGTCTAGAAATACAAACAAAAAGACACTCAAGAATACCCAGGAAGACACATTCTTTTTTTTTTTTTTTTTTTAAAGATTTTATTTATTTTATTTTTCCCCCCAAAGCCCCAGTGGATAGTTGTATGTCGTAGCTGCACATCCTTCTAGTTGCTGTATGTGGGACTCGGCCTCAGGATGAACGGAGAAGTGGTGCCTCGATGCGCACCCGGGATCCAAACCCGGGCCACCAGCATCACAGCGCGCGCACTTAACCACCAAGCCACAGGGCCGGCCCGGAAGACACATTCTTAACACCAACTTCTTTCCAGTAATGCTGTAACAGCACATGTGATGCCACATTAGTGGTATCAACACACCCACTAAGTACTAACACCACTATGCCATGACATATATTTGTGACAAAGGTCAAAGCTTACTCTAGAGCAGTTCTTCTCAAGCTTGCGAGTGCATACAAATCACCTGGGGATCTTACTAAAATGAAAGTTCTAACCAAGTTGGTGGGGATGGCACCTGAGTTCTGTATTTTAACGAGTTCCCACATGATGTTCATGCTGCCGGTCCCAGGACCACACTCTGAGTAGCAAGGCTCTAGGGCAGCATCAAATGACGGTCCATGGCCAAATGCAGTCCACCGCCTGGTTCCATAAACAAATTTGCTGGCACACAGCCTCGCTCACAGTTTACATAGATGGTTGCTTTTGCACTACAGAAGCAGAGTTGAATAGCCGCAACCGAGACCATGTGGGCCACAACGCCTAAAATATATACTATGTGATCTTTTACAAATTAGAACACTGCTTTTCAACCAGTTTTCACCCAAACCCCCATGACGCTTCCCTCATTCTATTTTCAACACATCTCTAAGGCCAGAAAAGTTACTGCTGAGCTTTGCTGTCTGGGGTCTACATAACAAAACAGATTCACTAACTACGCAGTTTCAAGCTACACACACCCATTTTCCCCCTTTCTCTTGGTGGAGGCTGGTGCATGTCCTCTATTCTTCAACTCACCAACACTGTGTTAATGATTTGAATGCTGCTGACAAGCCAATAATTAACCACAACCCAGAAGGCGCGCTTCTAGAGCATGAGAACAAGGTGGGAGAAGTGGGCTTGGAGCTTAAATTCCACACTTTCTCTTATGGGAAGAAAGCCCGGGTTGACCTCTTTGGTGTGCCACAAGGGAGAAAATGCACACATTGTGATGTGAATAAAACAACCTCTCGAGCTACTTCTGAAGTCAGCCCTATGTCTCAGACCATCTACATCTGCACTGGCAGCTACTGTATGGTTGAATAAATAACGATCAAAATAATAACCACAGACAATCTGGAAAAGACAGTGTGCAATACTAAATTCTAAAGATTTTCTATCCAAAAATTCGAAGTTTCAGCACTTCCAGTTAAGCTCTTATGATATGGAATGTATATTTGTCTGAGAGTCCTACAACAGTGCTTGGCATCACTGTATTTCCTTTGATGAAACGCCTTCCTCTGCATTACTGACAGCAACAGGTTTATAAACACCATCCATAGCACTGGACTTAGTCTTTACACACTTGTTACATCTGTTCCGAGTAGGTTATATTTATCACTACAGAGAAATGTATCACTACAGAGAAAACCAAGATTTTCTCATGGTACCTGGAGAGTCGGGTTTTTGAAGATGATGTGATGCTGTCCATTTGTTCAGAATTAGAAGCAGCACAAGTTCTTTCTTCCTTATCAGACACAATCATCTCAGCCTGAGGTAACTGAGGGGTATTCTTTTCAATATGTGTGTCTGTTATTTTATCAAGAGATCTAGATTCTAGACTCTGAAAAGCTGGTTCAAGTTGCTCTTTCTGAGGTTCTGGAGTTGTATGTGTGCTTCCTGAGGGAGGGAAGACATCTTGTCCCCCGGAAGGCTCCCCTTCAAAAAAAGAAAACAAATGGTAAGCACATATATTGAAATTAATACATCCTATTGAACTGCAATATTTAAAGGAAAAAACTCATGACATTCTTTCATAAACCCACACTAATAAGAGTAAGCGAAACTATACATTAGTAGTTACCTGGACTACTAGGAACACTGTAAACGGTTAGAAGCTATGGTAACAGCTTCTGCATTCAGATAGAAACTAGTTGTATCAATATATTTTGACCTAGAATATCTTTCTCCATAAATAATTCTTGAACTAGCAAGATGAAAGAGCGATCACTGTTAATCTCAGGGTAGAGCTAAGGACCTATAAAAACTCCTTTATCCTCAGCTTTCTAATTCCTAAAATATAGCTGCTGAGCTCTTACAGGAAATTATGTAGCCATGTGGTTTTCTCATAATTACAGGATAAAAGTAGCTTCTCATGGCTACCAAAGAGCCAAATCCAAGATCTCAGCAAGGAAGAAAACTTCTAATAATAAAAGCATGATTCTTAGAGAAAAGTGGCAAGATTCTGCTTCAATCCCAAATTTGAACAAGATGCATCAAAAATAAGCTGGGGTACTTAGCAAAGTGCAATCACATTAAAATTTATTTCACTCACCTGTTTCCTCAAAAACATTAATTAATTCCTTTGAACACACCTGTTTTAAGAAAATTTATAAAAAAATTTAGAAATCCATTTATCAAATAAAATTAATTTTATTTCCTTCTTTCTTTTTTAAATAAAGAAAGCATGTAGCCATAGAAAGCTCTAGGGTCAGACACGTCTTATGGGAATTATACCAAACATTCATAGAAAAGACATTGCTACTGTTATTCAAACTGCTCCAGAGCACAGGAGCAAGGGAAAGCTTCCATAAAAACAGGAGGAGGGAAAGCTTTTTACAAATCAAGCATAACTTGATATCAACTAACAGTCTCACATCAGTGCAAAACATCAAATGAAACATTACAAGCGTAATTCAGCAGCACATCAAAAGACTAATACATCATGATCAGGTACAGTTTATTTCAGGAATGCAGAGACAGTTCAATATTATGAAATCTACTAACATAATTCAACAGATCTGAGGAGAAAAATAATATTATCTCTCTATTTGTGGGAAAAGTGTCCAATAATATTCATTCTTGAAAAAAAAACTCTTAATTGAATAGACAGACATTTTCTTAACACCATAAAATATAACTATTGCAGGGGCCAGCCAGGTGGCATAGCAGTTAAGTGTGGGCACTCCACTGCGGCAGCCCAGGGTTCAGATCCCAGGCGCACACTGACGTACCACTTGTCAAGCCACACTGTGGTGGCGCCCCACATAAAGTGGAGGAAGATGGGCACGGATGTTAGCCCAGGGCCAGTCTTCCTCAGCAAAAAGAGGAGGATTGGCGACAGATGTTAGCTCAGGGCTAATCT